ATCTGAATATTTTTAATTCTATGATTTTGTGCTTAGTTTATATTAAAATGAAATTAGTTCATTGCTGTGCCAGGATACTACTTCTCTGATATGGCCATTTATGTATGGTGAAATTTTCCTAAATGTGTGTTTATTTTATACATAATTATTTGAAAATTAGCAAAATTGGTTTTCCTTTGTATTTCTTTCTTCTTGGTTTAAAATGGGTCCTGGAGGAATTATCAGATAATTGATTGGTTGACCTACATGTGCAGTTGAGGGAGTTTTAAAGATTCTTTTCTACTTACTACAAGGAAAATCTCCTGAGATTCAGAACTTTAGACACATGCAGTTGTTTAATTTACCTTGAAGTTCTAAGTGTCACATAAAGTTCAAAAAACAGATTACTGAGCCATTAAACTAAGATCTAAGATGTTTTATCTTCCTAATGGGATAATACAGAGAATCTGGTTTGGAGTTTGATCTATAACCTTGTATAACATGCTTTAAATTTTTGTTTAGGCAGTTTGGAAGGGCTTTCTTTTGCGAAAGAAACTGACAACAGCTCTAGAGGCTATTAAGGATGAAGAATCTGAAGAAGAATATGAAGAAATAGATTTAGAGGATTTTACATTTCATGAGGTAAGTACCAACTACAACATATACATATTGGTCTTAAAATGTTTTTAGTGTACTATTTTGGAGCTAAACCAGTTTTTAAGATTTTTATCCTCTGGACACTATTACAGACTTTTTTCAAGTAACACTTGAAAAAGTATTCTACTTTCTTAACATCTTCATTCACCTTACAAGCTTGTACAGTGTGTAAACATGTTTTTAGAATATTTTCAAGTTCCTCTGTGTATACTTCACCCAGATTTACCACTTTATCAAATATTCTTCATTAAATATAACTATGACTTTATTTATGCCCTGTTCAACAACCTTTAGTAGTTTTTTGTTGCCTAAAAATGTGAGAAAAACTTCCTTAATTTGTTATTTGAGTATTCCACAATAGGGCAGCAAATTACACAGAAATATCTACCACTTCTCCCTGTGGCTTCCATATGCTACAACCAAATTGAGCAACCTTTTACTGTACAGAACACTTGCCTTTTACATCCTTAGTTTGCTCATCTGTTCCCTCTTCTCTAGACAGTTAATACCCACATAACCACCAGTCAGATTAAGATACAGAACATATGGACATCTCCAGAAGACTTCCTCATGCCTCCATAGTGTTCATACTTCCCTTATCATAGATTAGTTTTGCCTATTTTTGAAATTCCTATAAGTGGAATCACACAGTATGTATTCTTCCTACATATAATATTATGTCTGTGAAATTTATATATGTGGCTGAGTGTAGCTGTATATATGCCACTCTTTTGAACATACCACTTTTAAAAGTGGTATTCTACTATTGTAGATTATTTCTTATTGAATTATTTCTAGTATTGCCTATTATGACTAAAGGTGTCATGAACATTCTTGTACATGTCTTTTGATGTGTGTAGTCACATTTGTTTTGGAAATAGAATTTCTGGATCATAACATTTACCTATGTTTAGTAGATAGTGCCTAATGGTATTCCAAAGTGATTGTATCAATTTAAAGTTCTATCAGCAGAATATGAGAGTTTTAGAGCAGCTCTATCCTCACCAACACTTTGTAATTTTATGTCTTTACCCCTATTCTAGTAGATTTATGATGCTATCTTGTTTTAATTTGCATTTTTCTCATAACTCTAATGTCAAATACCTTTTCATATGCTTACTGGCATTTAGATATCCACTTTTGTGACATGATCGAGTGTTTGTGCATTTTTTAGTAGAGTTGTAACTCTTTTTTCTTATTGATTTTTAGGAGTTCTTTATATATGCTAAATACTACTTCGTTTTCCCTTGCAAATATTTTCTCTAAATTCTGAAGCTTACTTTTATCCTCTTTATGGTTTATTTTGATGAAAAGAATGTTTCTAATTTAAAAAACAAAATTTTTAATTGTTGTAACATATGTATTTGCCTACTCCTAGATCATATTCTAGAAACTTATCTTAGCTTTCAGCATTTAAGTCTATGATATAATTGGAATTAATTGTTGTGAATAGTGCGAGGTAGTGATCAAGATCCCCACATACACACGCATTTGGTTATATCATTGATTCAGAAGCGTTTGTTTTACAGACCATACTTTTCACAGTGAATTGCAGTTGAAGTGTTGTTTAGACTCAGGTAACTGTGTATGTGGGTTCTTTTAATTTTTCTCATTGTTCTGTTGTTTATCCTTAAATCACTAATAAACGTAGAATTTTTTTATAATTTATTTATTTAAATTAGTTTCAAATATACAATACATTGATTATAGATGTACATTATATATGTTCATAAAACGATCCCCCCAATTTCTCCCTCTCTCCCCTGGCCTTCCACTTAGCCATCATATTAATGCTAACTGCATTTCCTCTGCCATGCTCCCCATGCCCAACTATCAACTAGTAATTTGTACTTCTTTAACCCTTCACCTCATTCCCCAGCCTCCCAACCCCCTCCCCTCTGTCCGTCACCAAAATTGTCCACTATATTTGTGAGTCTGTTTTTGATTAGTTTGTTCTTTTTGTTCCTTAGATACCGCATATAAGTGACATCATATGGTATTTATCTTTCTCTGTCTAATTTATTTCACTCAGCGTAATAACCTCTAGGTCCATAATAACCTCTATGTCATTGCAAATGGTAGGATTTCATTTTTTTAATGGCTGAGTAATATTCCATTGTATATATGAATAACTGTAGAATTTATAATAAATTTTGATATTTAGTCTTATAAAAGCTCTAACTTTTTCTTTCTTTTCAGGAAAGAGCTACTACTGCTCTGTTGACTATTTTTGTTTCTGTACAAATTTTAGAATCATCTCGTCAATCTGTCACTAAACATTAGGATTTTGTCTGAGATTGCAATGAATCTATAAATCAATTTAGGAGACCTGACTTTTTAGAATATTACATTTTTAAATCCATGAACACATAATATCCTACCATTTATTTAAGCCATTTGAGATTCCTGTCCACAGTGCTCTGTAGCTTTCTTCATAGTAGTCTTGTACATTTTTAGTTAGGTTTATTTCTAGGTATTTGATGTTTTCTGATATATTTATTTTTGTATATTAACCTCGTATTTAGCCACTTGGTTGAAATCACTTATTAATTTTATTAGTTTATCTTTTAAAATTTTTGAATATTCTGTATACACAATCATGCCATCTGAGAATAATGACAGTTTTATTTCTTTTATTACAATTCTTATGCCTCGACTTTATGTTTTCTTGCCTTATTGTCTTGCCTACTACCTCCAGTAAAATGAGCCAGGATACTACTATTAGCAGATGTCTTTTTCTAGCTCCTGGCCTTAAGGTGAAAACTTTCAATATACCATCACTAAGTAAAATGCTTAATATAGGTTCTTGTAGAAATTATATTTGATTAAGGAAGTTACTTTCCTTAGCATCTTCTTACCTTTCCAAGAGGTGATGATTATGATGATCATTCTATATATGATTTTGATATTATTAAATTATTTTATGCATATAACATTGATTTATTAAATATTAAACCTGGTATTCCTAGAATAAACCAACTTAGCTATAATGTATTATCCTTTTTATATATCTGAATTTGATTTGCTAATAGTTTATTTAGGATTTTGCATTTATATTAAAGAAAAAGTGAGCCTATAAATTTTCTTTCTTATAAAACACTGAAGATTTTGGTATCAAGGTTATATTGGCCTTGTACATTTGGTTGGGAAGTGTTTCCTCTGTTTCTATTTTCTGGAAGAGTTTGATATAAGATTGATGTTGTTTATTCCTTAAAAAATATTATTTAAAAAATTGTCTAAGCACATAATCTCTTTGGAGAAATGTTCCATGTATACTTAAAAGATATGTGAGTTCTACGGGTGTTAAATATATTGTTACTAAAATCTTAATTACTTCACGTTTATTAATTGAGTTTTTTAAGTCTTCTGTATTCTTAATGATTGATTGGGTAAGGGGATTCTATCAGTAATTGACAGGACAATGCTAAAATTTTCTACTGTGACTGTGGATTTCTCTAAATCAGCTATCAATCCTATAAATTTTTCTTCATATTTTGAGGCTATGTTAGCAGGGTATACACATTTAGGATACTTAAATCATTGTATTATTGAAACTTTTATCATAATAAAATTTTCCTTTTTAACTCTAGTTTTCCTCTTTAACTAACTGCATTAATGGCTACTCCCTCTGATATTTTAATAATTACAACAACTTTCTTTTGGTTGGCAATTTCATAATATCTATTTTACTAGCCAGTCTCATTCAACATTTCTGTGGTTTTTTTAATTTAAAGTTGACTCTCATAGGATTATATGGTTGGGTTCTGCTTATTTTCATATTTCATTCTGACATTATTTTTCTTTTATTAATGCAGTCAAACTATTTTATTTTACTTAAGTATAATTAGGCTTATATGTGTCATCTATTTGTTTTCTATTTGTCTTATATGTTCTATATTTTTTTTTGCTTCTTTTTTTCCTTTATATTAATCACATATTTTTGTTTTTTTTTTTCTTTTTTTATTAGCTTGTTAATGTGTGATTATCTTTTTCCTTGAACTTCATTTCTTCCTGCATTAACATGCTTCCATCTGGGATCATTTTTCTTTGCCTGAAGGACTTTAGTATTTAGTTTAGGTCAATTTTCGATTGCTTTGAAAATTCTTTTACTTAAAATTTTAAAGTATATCTTTTATAGGTATAGACTTTAAGGTAGGATTTTTGTGTTTAAAGATATCCTTTTCATTAACTTCTGGCTTCCATATATAGATTCTTTTAAATATCCAGTAATAAATCTTGGCTATTGTAAGTAATGCTGCAATGAACATATGGATGCATATGTCTTTTGGATTAGTGTTTTGTTTTTTGTTTTTTGTTTTTTTTGGATAAGTACACAGATGTTGAATTACTAGGTCCTTCTTTGTCTCTTATTATAGCTTCTGTTTTAAAGCATATTTTGTCTGATATAAGTATTGCTACCCTAGCTTTGTGTTTTTCATTTCCATTTTCATGAAATATCTTTCTCCCTTTACTTTCAGTCTGTGTGTGTCTTTCAGTATGAAGTACCTCTTGTAAACAGCATAAGTATGGGTCTTGTTTTCTTATCCATTCAGCTACCCTGGGTCTTTTGATTGGAGCATTTAATCCATTTACATTTAACATGATTAATGATAAGTACATGGTTATTGCTGTTTTATTATTTAAACTTGTGTTTTTTTTCTCTTTTCTTCTTAAAGTAGTCCCTTTAACATTTCTTGTAATACTGGCTTGGTGGTGACGAATTCTTTTAGATTTTCTTGTCTGGAAAGTTCTGTTTTTGAACCTAGGTTGTAGTTCTTACTTTGAATATTTCATGCCAATCCCTCCTGGCCTGCCGTTTCTGTTAAATCAGCTGACAGTTTTATGGGAGCTCTGTTGTAGGTAACTGGCTTTTTCTTGCTGCTTTTAAGATTCTCTCTTTGTTTTTAACCTTTGGCATTTTAATTATGATGTGCCTTGATTTGGGCCTCTCTGGATTCATCTTGTTTGGGACTCTGTGCTTCCTA